CCTGGCCGCACTGGTAGTTTCTTGCATTGGCCAAGCGCAGAGCTCTCCACGAAGGACCGAGTGGGTTCAGGGCATTACAATGAAGGGCTCAGGGGCTTAAGTTTAGGGTTGAATAGCGAGACCGTCATGGAGGCATGTTCCTTAGCCGAGAAAAGTACAACACGGACTATAAGTTCTCAAAACTTGGCCTGTGCCCCGCTGCGCTATGCGTACATCAAAACAAAGGCCCAGTATGCTTCACGTTGTGGCCGTCATGGTGATGTTCTTCGTAGAGGAAATCGCCCTTTCCCTTTGGTCGGATAACCACCGTCCTATCTGGCGATCGCATCTTCAGCATCGCGTTGCCCTCGGAGTCAGTGTTCGCTCGTATCCACGGTCAGCATGGTTGCTGTCGAACACCCTCTCCTTGAAGGCCGTTCTAATAAGCTCATAGATGGATGTACTGCACTTTGCCCCGTTGGTGTGGCTGCACACTAGCTTTTTGCCTCTCCAAATTGGTGATTGTAATACATCACCTTGGCCCCCGCCACCTTGGCCGCCCGAGGGCGCGTAACCACCTCCGCTAGACTGACCTCCAGAGAAGTTACAAGCACTGACCTTGCTGCCAACTCGCACGCTTGCGCGCTGCATCTCTACTGCGGGTGGCTGGCGAACCGTGAGGCTCAGGCCCCCTGACATGGAGTGCTGCAAGTGACTTTCTGAAACTCCATCTGTATCTGCGGTGACTGACGTCTCCTGCCTGCCTTTCACGACAAGAGTGGGAATGCGCACTGAATCCGTGTCGAACTCTGGCACAGGTGGTGGTGGCTTGTCGCACATCTGGGTGATTTGGCTGTCCATCCTGGGTCGGGGAGTGACACAGGATGAGCTGCCGAGAACACAAGCTTTTCCAAGGCGCTCGAGTTCTGCAATGACGGGAAGCTCTTCGGCCACGTCACTCCATCGCCTCGTAACTTCAGCAGCCTGTTTTGTTTTGCCTTGCACTTGGGATCCGTCTGTTCCGCGTCGTTGTAGCCGTTGGGCCCAGGAACGAGCTTCCGGGCAGAGACCTCGAACCAAACCAGCAGGCACAAACCACATCGTCGTCGTCGTCGTCTGCTCCTTCAGCATGGACAGGAACTTTGGCAATGGCGCCGTGCAAACTGAACCACATTCGGCTTGCTTGCAAGGAGGCTCTTGCCCCCAAGGATCGCGGAGCGACACTTTGCACAGCGTCCGGAGCTGGTATTCCGAGCTGTCATGAGACAACTTGGGCAACAATGGACAAGAGCAAACTGGGCTTGACCCGAAAATGAAACTCCCACCACGCAAGCACTTCTCCATCCAGACCTACCTATTGCGCATGACCTCATCTTATTAATGCAAACCTCTTTGGGAGTCTGGGCCACCGGACTGCACCGGAGCATTGCGCTTTGGGCATCAAGCACCTGGCGCGACACAACGGGGGAAGTGATCATATCTTGATTTTTGCCACGTTCTTGATCCACTTGCTGGTACGGGTCATGTCGGTTGCGAGAGTGTCTTTCCTTACTTTCGGTTTGAGTCATTCGACTTTTCGGAATAGGTTTGAGGTTCAGACCCTCATCTTTCAGGCCCCTTCCCTTCCACCCGGAATCTCGCGACAGAGTGCAGGGAGAAGCGTGCAAGGGAGCTTGGAGCAACTCGAATGGTGATTTGTGCGTAAATAATTACCAATATTACATTGGGGGCTCCTTATTCTAATTCTAGTCTAGTTGGCCCAAAACCCTATTCCAATTATTCAGGCCCCTATATTATTCCATTCTTTTGCAACTGAAACCGCCACCGGAGTCTCAGTGGAGTTTGTGATTCATTTCAGGACGGCCGGAAGCACAGGGACTGTGCTGTAGACTGTGAGATGGTTTCGACCTTCCGCGACACTTGTCGATTCTTCAAAGGGCTCACTCTTTCCCGCTCCCTACCTCTCTCGCTCGCGCTCGCGCTCATTCTCTTGCACTATTTCTTTCCATTCGCTTGGTCCCCCTGTGTTAAGGGGGAGCGAGGAGGCAACGAGTCGAACAGCAGGATCCCGAACCCCTGCGCCTCATCTCCCAAAGTTATATCATGTCGAGTGCACATGGGCTCGTTCTCTGTCTCTCTTTCTTTCCACAGGGTTGTG